AGAGTAAATAAGTATTTAATACCTGGGACAACGTGAGGGTTTTGTGTGCTGTGCCCTGGCAGCCCCCACCTACCAACCAACCAACCAACCAAGCAACCAACCAACCAACCAACCAACCATTTTTATGGAAGTGGTGAAAATCCTAATTATTTGGAAGCTGCATCAAAATGTGGCTTAAGGGATGTGGCACAACTTGAGCAGTGGAGTGAAAACTGCACGAAGGAGTTGGGCTGTGGCAGTGGAAACACCGAAATGGCTCAGGCCAGGAAGGGCCTGGGGTCTGGAAACCAAACAATGGGATCCTAACACATCCTCTCTGGGGTGTTTGGAGCATCAGGAGAGGCGGTGGAGTAATTGTCAGCAGGTCTTTAAACCACCCTCACTGCACAGGGAACAGTATTTGGGATCTAAAGCCTTTATGGCCTTTAGCAAAGCGGGAAATGTTTTCCAGCCATCCCTGTCTCTGCCTGGCCGGAGCAGGGATGGGCAGCCCTGGCCATGTCCTCATGTCCCTCCCCGGCAGTGACCCCAAACAGCCCAGGACAGACCAACGTGGGTGGCAGAAACTCCTGATTCATTTGCGGGAATCGTTTTTTTACTGCCAAAATCGGGTTAAAAAGCTGAGAAGGGTTTGCAGTTGTGTCTGACACAGGAGTGTCTGTCTGTCCGTCCATCTGCAGAGGGAACTGGAAGGAACCACCACCACCCTACATGGGGATTCCTTTGGCTGTTCTGGGCTGGGTTTTAGTCTCTGAGCCCAGCTCAGGGGTGTCCCTGTCACTGCTGGAGGTTCAGGGATTGCTGGTGGGGTCACTGAGGTGGCAGCAGCCCCTGGACCCTCTGCAGCCCCGCCTGTGCTCTGCCCGTGAGGCATCAATCCCCATCCCAAATCTCCGAGTGCAGCGTGGGAGCTTCACACGCGGGAGCGGGGCTGAGCCGAGCCCAAAAACCGGGGGCTCGATGTCCCTGACCCCAAAACGCCTCTTGCAGCCCCGGACCCACGTCCCGTCCCTCTGACTCGTGTCCCTTTTCCTGGCAGGGAGAAGCGGGCCCTGCACATCAGCGTCACCAACCCGGTGCAGTGCAGCCTCCACGGGCGGAAATGCACGGTCTCCGTGGAAACCAGGATTAACCAATCCCAACCGGATTTCACCAAGCATCGCTCCGGCTTCGTCCTCTCCGTGCCGGGGAATTAACACCCGCTCCGCCCGCGCCGGGGCTCGGCCCGCCCTCCCCGCGCCCGGGACTCGTCGGGATTCACCGGGAGATGCTCGGCTGCGACGCGTCAAGGCGCCTGGAACGGGCTCTGTAAGGCTCGAGGTTTTTGGAAAACCCGAAGTTCGGGGGGTTTAGAAAAAAAAAAAGCCAAATTCGCGTGGAACAACAAAAGGCTTAAAATAGCCGGTGACCTGTTCTCCATCTTACAAACCAGGCTGGAATATCACAAAAGTGCTTTGGAATTAGTCCAGAAAAAAAAAGCATTTATAGGTACTTCCACCCTTTTCCTCCCTTTCCCACATTGATTCTTTTCCCCCTCTCCAGTTTTCCCTCCCGTGTTTCTTTTCCATGTGTTGTTTTTTTCCTTTTTTTTTTTTTTTGCAATACGATGCAGCCTCCTCCTCCTCCTCAGGAGGAACCAAAGATACCCGGCTCAGGGAGTCTGGTTCTGTAGGACCGAATCCCCGTGGAACCAGAGCCAGGTTTGGGAGGGAGGCCGGGAGACACTCCACGCTCCTCCAGCCCCACGGAGCTGGGATGGTACATGGAGACACCTCCAGACTTGCTGCTTTCCCACCGGGAATTCCTTAACACCCCAAGGCACCTTGGCTGGAGGTGGGTCCAGCACCAGAGAGGGGCCTTCCCAGTGCAGGGGCTTGTTTTGTTACCCCTGAATTGCTTTTGCCTTAATTACCCTCTCCAGGGACCCAAATCCAGTGGGTTCCCACTGGGACCGTGTGGCCTTGCTGGGTTTTCAGATGATCCACGTGGCTTCGTGTCCGTGCCAGCGCTGGGGTTCAGGGAGGGAAAAGGGACTCGAGGCAGGGGGTGGATCCAGAACCACGGGGAGTTTTGTGGGGCCGAGGCCGCGGCTCCGGCGCTTTGCACTATCCAGCACTAACCCTGGGAGCCCGAGGGGCAGCAGCACAGACCAGCACCCGGGCTCTTCCCTCCAGAGAGCTATCCTGGCTCTTCCCAGCAGTGGGATGTGGGTGTTGGGGTGTTGGGCATCCCCTCAGCTCGCCTGGTGGCCCCATGTTCCGCCTGCGCCTGCCCGGCCCAGATAACCCAGAGCTCCGTGTTTACAGAGGGATCTGGATACTCCCTGGTTTATTCCCACCGTGCCAGGCCCTGCTGTGGCTCCTGAGCAGCCCAGGCTGTTGGGATTGTACATTGGGATTGTCCTGGCACTGCTGGTCAGGTCAGGATTCCCAGCCCTGGAGGTGGGTGCTGTGTGGTGACCCCACCTCGGGGTCCCTGCCCAGACGTAAAAACTGGGAGCAAGTGTTTAATGGAGCATTTTGGGAATTGGGAAGCCTGGAAGAGGCTCTTCACTTATGACCTGCTAAGGAAAGGCTTCCCAAAGCCACAGGGTGCAGGGACAGGTCACTGCACTCCCAGGACTTGGGGGGGGGACCTGAGTGTGGAGCAGCTCCAGCTCTGTGTCACCTGGCACAAGCTCAGCCCTCCCGTGCGCTCCTCTGGGGATGCTCCACACCTTTCCCGAATTCCCTGGCCTTGGAGCAGCTGTGCCAGCATCCCAGCACCACCTCCCAGTTCCCCTTGCCCCCTCCCAGCCTGTGGCTCTGGGGCTCTGCAGGGAGAAGCTCTTGCAAATGAAGAGGGGACACCGACAGCCCCGACCGTCCCCACGCACACTCGGGGACCCCCACGGACCCTCAGCCACCTCCCCCCATCCCACCTCAGCTCCTCGGGAGGAGCAGCACCGTGGGACAGCCCCGCTCCTGCCAGAGGGAGCATCCCCGGCCTGGCTGTGCCTTTGGATTTGCACTTGTCGCTTCGATGTCCCGGTGCAGAGGTGTCCCCCCCCTCCCCCGCCGCACTAACCCCAGCCAGGCAGTGGCAGGATTTTAATCAGCACTTTTTTATCCACTTCTCCCTCCCAATGGAATGGCCGTTTGGAATCAGGATGGACGGCGGCGCAGCGCAGGCTTAGGGAATTTCTGTCACCATGAGATGGCAATATTGTATGTGATGAGATGTCTTTATAAAATATATTATCTGTTCCTGCTCTGGTTTTATATATATATATATATAAAAATATATAAAATATATATATATTCCTGGTTTTCCCATAAATTAACTATTTCTAAATTGAATCTGATTCTCAGCCGGGGGCGATAATGCAATGAACCCTTTTTTTTTATTATTGTTGTTATTATTATTATTATTATTATTTTAAATCGCTGATATTTTAATGTGTAAAAGAAAACAAAAACAAAAAAAACCTACTATAATGGACCTGGGTTTTGTTTACATAATTCACTGTAATAAATAATAAAAAAAAAAAAGCAGTTAGTTGCATCCCACCATGGCCGTGCCTGTTTCTGCAGGGATGATGATGATGATGATGATGCTCAGAGGGAACGTGGTGTTTTGGTGTCCCAATATCCCGAATTTTTCCCCCCCTCTGGTTGCTCCTGGACCTGCTGCTCTCCCACCACGGGGTGACCCCGGGGCTGGTAACGTGATTAAAGCTGCTTTAAACCCTCTGTCGTCAACACAAATCCCATTCCCAGCGTTGCCAGTGGAGGGGTGGGAGTGCAGAAAAGACTCGGCCACGAGCCACTGCCGTGTAATGGATGGTCAGTGCATTTTTATTTAATCAGCACAGTACAAAAATAAATAAAAATAAGGGGAGGGGATTAAATTACAGGCACACTGAGCCCCATGACACAGTCGGTCGGGTTATAAACCACACATACTTACAAACACACTATACACATACATACAAAATGAGACAAATATAAATTAATAAGTAACAATACCCACCAATTTGGTCAACAAAGATCTACAGAAGAGATTGCACTAAAAAAACGTACGTACACATGTATCATTAGCAGGGTCCAATGTACAGCCATGAAGAGCTTCAAGTGAAAAAAAAGAAAAATCAAAAAAAAAAAATAAAAGTAAATGGCACGTTATTTCTCCCTCTCGTTCGCCAGTTTAACGCCCGATGGACCAGAACTAAACTAGAACTGAGCACACGGAGAAAAAAATGATGATAAAACCCAAAAAGAAAGGTCTCAGTCCCCAGGCCTGATACGGGAATACCGGCTGAGACTGCGGTGTCGGGGGTGGTGTTGGGTCTTTGTGCATGGGTGTAATTTTACAGCCATCTCTCGTTAAGGTTTTTTTTTTTTTCTTTTCTTTCGATTATTATTTTTTTATGCGTTTTTTCCTTTT